TATTGTAAGAGCACAAACTTTTACATAAAGGGTCATAGTAATGTGAGATACATGAAGAGAAATGGTTTCTGCTTAGAAATTCTAAGCCGTGTACCCAAAAATACCTTGAGAGGGATATAGCTCAGTGACACAAGCACCTGCCTGGCAAGGGCAAGGTTGTGAGTTTGATTTATGATACCAAAAAAAAAAAAAAAAACAAGACAATCAAACAAGAATATCTTGAGAATGTCATTGGGTTTTAAAATCAATATAATTTGCTTTATGTTACTTTTCTAATGTTAGGTACAGCAATTAGAGTTCTTTAAGGGAATGAGATCAATAGAAAATATACGTATAATTATGCAATAGGAAGTATTATATAGGCTTTCAGGATCAGAGATAGGCGAGTACACAGTGGCTGCCTTTCTGCAGGAGAGCTAGAAGATCCAGCAGCTGCTTAGATCGACCAGACTGGAGCTACGCAGGAGAGGGGTCAAGGGTGCAGCTCCAGGCCAAGGGGGAAGGCCTGGAAGCTCACTGTGGAGTCACTATGGGTGCCTGTGTTGACCTGTTGAAGAACCAGAGACAAAGGCAAGGCGATGCCTGGAGCTCTTCGGAGATGAGGACCCTTCCTTCCTCTTCCCTTTGCTCTTCTGCCCTCCGTGCTGACCTGTGACCCAGTCATCCACAGACACACCCAGAACTGGGCTCTACTAGGATGCGAGGCATTCCTGCATTCTAGCTGCTTCTCACCTTGATATGTCATGTAACAGTCGCACTAAATGTGTATAGGTTTCTCAGGATCGAAAGAGAAATAAACATCTTTTGCAGAGATTAGAAACAAATCATCACCTGGATTACTATGATTTGATGCTGGCTTTTCCGGATTTGTGACTGCAGAACATAGCGTGGCTCTGGTCCCTGTCCTCTACCGCAGGGCTCTTCTCTTCTGTCCTGTGATTCCTCTATTGTCTGTTTATAGATTTGTCTTCGGCTTTTGGACCTTGTCCACTCTGTTCTGTATGTGTGTCTGGCTTATAATTCTGCTGATTTATTTGTAAGAATTTAAGTCCATGTTGATCTTTTTTTATTCCTGTCTCACATGATTTAGTGCTGAATTTCATAATACTTTCTTGGTTTATTTTTTCCCTTATATTTCCTCCTATTTGTTATGGGTTTCTTAAATATAGGGTCATTCTTTAATGTATTATGTATGTATGAGTTTGTAACAGAATATTTGTCTCTTTTTAAGCTTTTTAAGAGCTTCGTTCTCAAAATTCTCAAATTCAAAATGATACCCTGAAATCGCAGGATTTTTTTTTTTTTTTTTTTTTTTTTTTTTTTGGTACTGGGCATCAAACTCATGACCTTGCGCTTGCGAGGCAAGTGCTGGTGCCACTGAGCTAACCCCCCGACTGAAATCACAGTTTCATGAAGCCATCAGTCCCTCATATAAAATATTATGGTTGCTTCAAAGTATAGCACATTGTAATGCAATTTTCTCATAATCATTTTGAGTTTAAAAGTTGCCAGTTTTTGTCAGACATGTTGCTTAGGTCAATGTGCAGCAGCTCCTTTTGGATAATGTTGTCATCTTTGAGACAGGAAATTCAAAGACAAAGAAGGAGGGGTTGGTGTTGCAGCAGACATGGTCAAATGCTCCAATGCCCAGGGGCCTCCATGTTTTTCTTACACTATAAGAAGATACTACCAATTATTTTCTAATGGTCAAACTGGTAGCAGAAGGTGAATTAATTAATTAAAGTTTCTAATAATCCTGTTTTTTAAAAATAGTTTATATATTTTCTATTATATTATTGTTGTGTACTGCTAGTCAGGCTCTGCTGGCCTATTATGCAGTAAAGAATAAACCTTGAAATCTCAGGGGCTTAACAATACAGTCCCTCTTCATGTAGGGGCCCAGAGACCTGTGCTGATCTATACCATGTTCCAGCAAAGTACTTTCTTACTCTACTTCCATTGCAGGATGCTGAACAGTTTCTTACTGAATAAAACAGTGAATGTCCTGAGTACTCTATCTTAGACATGCAGTCAGCTATTCTGCTTGATTCTGCCCTCTAGGGAAAGTTCTCATTTAGGGTATTCATTAAGTGTTAAGTAATACAGTAATTACAACAGGAATGCTGAGCCTGGATCAATTAAGAGGCACATCTGGAACCCAGCACTTGAGTTTATGATCCTAAAAGGGAATTAGTGTACTGAGAAATTTAAGAGTTGACAATGACTGGTCTTCTCTTCCTCTGAACTCTGGAACAGTGTCTCACACAAGGCAGTAAAACAATGAATACTTTTAAACAGAAGAGCTCAAACTTGCTTTGCTTTTGTGGTTTTATATGTCTTCTTCGTTTCATGTTTTTCTAGAAATTTGTTTTGTTATCTTGTTTGATTTGTTTTTCCCTCTAATACAGAGAGGATAGGTGTACATGTAGAGATTCACACATGCATAGAACTTCTAAACAGTTTACGAGAATTGATTATATAATGCACATTGGAATGAACAGATACTCTGAAGAAGAGACACTAAGATATCTAGTGCTAATTCTGTAGCATCATGTTATAAAATCTAGAAATACTATTATTCTGTGTTCAGAGTGATATTAGTCTGTTTTCTTTTGTTTAATTTCAACATATGTAAAGATATGGACAGTTATTTTGAAGAGAACATGAGACATTATGTCAGCCATTGTTGACTTCCCTATTGTCTGGTCTAGAAGACCTAAAATGCCTTCAGCATCCTGTTCTGATCAGTTTAGTACTATTTTGTTCAGTATGAATTCAGTGTGTGTGAAGATATGGACACCTATTTGGAAGAAAACAAGAGACAATATGATAAGACAGTGAAGATCTCCAGTGGTCTTGCTTTGAAATCTGTGTTTCTAATTAAACTGTTTTCTTATGATCTGTTTTCTTCTGTTTTGTTAGGTTTAGTTTTACCTTCTTTTAAAAAAAATTAGCTTTTTAAAACTGCTTCCTACATCTTCATATCCCAGTGTACTTTTAACAAGTGCTTCAGAATGAAGATATGGACTTGATCCATTATAATTAGCATTGAAAATGGAAGTTAGAAAATGTTTCCAAAATTGGGAATTTTTCTCCATAATTTTATTAAGTGGAGACTTAGTAAAACTATCAAATATATAAGCTGCAAAGATTTAAATAAGAAAAATAGGTTAAAGTACCGGAAGATATTATCAATTAAAAAAAGAGTATTCAGTAGCTTTTTTAAAGTATTGGCTAAATATCTCTGTATAGTCTGTCTCACTGATTAAAGATTCACATCCTTAGTTATAGTGCATTGTAGGGTCCATAAAGCTAAACCATAAATCATGAATGAAGGTGAAAGGTATTTTATTTTTTTGTGGTTTGAAGAACATTGCCAATCAATTTTTCATTTGGATGGTCCTTAGCAAATGGCTGATTTTCTTGAATCGTAGGCTGGGCTTGCAAAGCTGTGCAGATCAGGCAATCTATGTTCATATCTTGATGATCTGCAAATCACTTATTCATTTGGTAGAGTAAAGCAGGCTCATGAAATCAATAATTTTGCTATTCATTTATGCTGTATGCTTTCTTTTTCACCCTTTGGAAAATTCCATAAAGCAGCATCGATTTTATTAAGCTAAAATAAAAGCATGTCTCTAGCACAGTCTCTGGTTTTGTTTGCCTTATGTTTTAAAGAATGCTCAAGCCTTACGTACTCCATCAGTATAAGGTCAGTGTGTTCTTATATTAATGTCATTGATGGATGCTTTCTGCACATCTTTGTTAAGTATGTATGCTGTGTTTATAGCAGGAATGAGCTTAATCACATTTGTGAATTAAAGATTGGCACTTCTGATATGAAAATAAAATGTTAGCTTGTTGCTTCGGAAATTGTTGCTTTGGAAGTCACGCACAAAAAAGAATTGAAGTTAAAATATGCAGCTCTTGTGTAAAAAAGTAATGAATTCCAACGAAGAGTTTCAGGTCAAAATTTTAAAGCTGCATGGGTATGGTAGCTTCAGATTACTAGATGCTCCAAACAACTGCCTCTTAAATGTACTGCTATTTTTTCTTTTGCATTTTGTGATTTTTGAGGCCAAAGAAAAGGAACCCTGAGAGGTGTTGCTGCTTCACTATTAACTATGGACTGGAGGGATTCTGTTGCAGTGTAAATTGTATTATATTTAAAATGAATGACTTGCAACTCTGTTACTGTATGATGCACTTAAATATGTTCATTTTAATGGAGATGAGTTATTGTCAGATTGCTCTGCAAAAGGAAGCTCTATTTTTTCTACCTGTGACCATTTTTATTGACCAAAAAGTTTCAGAAATGAGAAAAGATACTGATTCTGACCTTTGATTATCTAAATTTGTGAGGAATTAGGGACAATAATCAATTTCAGTGCATATGCCCTGGCTTACCTAAACATTTGGGATAAACTCGGGTCTGTGTCACATTCAGGCAGAATCAAATTAAAAATCTAAATGTTTAACACTGTCATTCTTTTCTGAATTATTGAGTTCTATAGACTTGTGAGAAGAACAAATATTGCTCTTAAAACTTGAAATGTTCACTAGAAAAATGAAGGAAACTAGGTATTTGGCATTTTCCTCTTATTTTAATACGGCCTCAGAGTTTATTTTGGTTATGGAGCACATTCCAAAAAAGTATGTGGCACAAATTACCCAAACTGAGAAAACAGGGCTGAATATCTGTGAGATGACTGTGAGATACCGTCCGGAGGGCTGGCTGGTGTGTAAAAGCCTGAACTCTCCTTTAGAACTTTCTGTAATACTTCTTAATTCTGTACAATTGTCTAAAACTGCTCGTGGTTTCAGTAGCTTCTATTCTTGTTTCTCTGGGGAGAATCTTTTTCCTGTTTTTTTTTTTTTTTTTTTAGTAATAGACAAAGAAATTGCTTAGTTTAATTTAGACAAATAAGCGGAAAGAAATCCTGACAGTGCACCAGACGCGATCTTTGTGGATAATGTGAGTTCTTTCTTTTTAATTTTAGAATCAACCTTGTCCTATGTTAGGCAGCTGGAGGCCAGAGTAAGACAGCTGGAGGAGGAGAATCGCATGCTGCCCCAGGTGGGTGACTTCAGAAGCGCGTAGCTAGTCAGTGTCATTTGAGTTGCAGTTGTTTATTTGAAATGAAAAGTCTCAATTACATGTTCTTCTTTAAGTGCTAGAAATCATTTTGTAAATAGCCATTCATCTCGTAGAGTGTGATTATGTTCCATGATGGCCATCATGTTATCCAGGTTTCTAAGTGGTATGCTAAAGGTTATGGATGTCTGAAATAAGAAGTTGAACTGATTTTTAAAAAGAGGAAGAAAAAACAAAGATTAAATGGAAGATAAAGATCTTTAGTATCATTATATACATTATGCCTGTAGTCTGTAGATAGTAAGGAAGGGACTCTTTTAAATCCAAAGCTTACTAATTTGTGAGCAATAAATCTATAGATAAAGTTTTTGTATCTTAATTAATTAGTACTTTCTGAAATTTTCTGTGATGTAATCGAACTCTTGTATAATGAAGCAATGTCAGTAATTGAGTTTTTATTTGAGGACTCTATTTTTTTCTCTCTGATGAATATACAGTGGTATTTGTTCTGGAATGTCTAATGTCTTGTTAAATATTTCACTAGAAAAAATTGTTTCCATGAGCTGTTAAATTTACAAGAATGACGCTAGTCTTTTGAGGTGGTGGTTGTTAGAAAATAATTTGTTGAGAAGTCGCAGAAATCTACTGACTTTAGCTTAGCTTCCATTATAGATATGAAGGCAGTAATGCGTTTTAAGATTTTATAAAATAGAGTTTTCTAAGCAATTAATTTCTATCAGCCTTTCTGCTTTCTTATATAAGTGACTAAAGGAAAATTGCTGCTCAAATAACCAGTACACAGTAGTTTAAATAAAAGACAAATGCATTTACATTTCAACAGAAGAAGTTTAAATATTTAAGACTCTTTGGAAAGACACTGTAAATCTTTTCAGTCTTGTTTTGTTCTTAATATCATTTTGCTCATTAATATGATTTGGGGTATCATGTGCTCTGTGGAGGAATGTTTTCTCTCTCTTCAGTTGGCCAAATAAAAATTATGAGATTAGTAGATCTACTTCTCTTCTTTCTCTCACCATTGGCGTGTTAAAATTTATAATGGCAGAAGAGATTGTTTGTGTCATGAAATAAAATACTGGTAGAATTGGCTTTGGGGAGGGGTTTGTTTGCTGCCTGTTTGCCTTTATATTGGATTCAGGTCTAACTGTTCTAGGGCCCTTGATTGAAAACATCTAACTTCTTTCCTGTTTAAAAACTTAAAAATATGGTTTATTATATATGTTTATACCATTTCACAGGCAACTGAGAATATAAAAGATAAAAAGTAGAAAAAAAGAAATAATTTTTAGTTTTAGACTAATAATTTTTAGTCTTCCTTGAGTGGAAAATGAAGCTCACATCAAACATTAAAATGGTAGCATATATACCATCTTATTTAAAAAGAGGTACAACAAATGTGAAAATAATTACAAGATTGATTTTTAAAACTCTGTAAAAGTTAGTATTAAAATTGTTAAGGGACAATCAGAAGAACCCTCCACTATACTTAATATGTATACATTGAAATGCACTGTCCTTTGCATAGTTGAGACTAGGGCAGATTAAGCAATTTCTTCCATTAAAATATTCAGTATGTGCTTTTACATGTGTTGCTATTTTGCTGTCAGGAAAGTTGTCTTTCCTTTGTTTTTTATTTTTTTCCCACTGAGAAATATTTAGGAAAGATTGGCTCTACAATAGGATACACTATTATTTTATCATTACAAAAGAAAAAAAATTTGTCAATTATAACATGTCAGATTTTTGTTGATTTTAGAGATGTTCAAAATGAAAAAACAGTATTTTAGATTTAAATGGATAGTTACATGTCAGAGTGCTTTAATGGAAAGAAAACTCATTGTTTAAAATATACGACTGGACATATAAAATATAATAGATCTTATTTTTAAAATAATATTTTTGTTAAATTTTATGTCAGATATTGTTGCCTTGGATTACAGCTAAAATGGACATGACAGAATTGCTAGTTGTACCTTCTGTAAGTACAAACTGTCATGAGCACTGATGGTAGATGAGCCTCAGGAGTTAACAACAACAGCAAAATAACCTTGAAGCAGTGCAAATCATGTGAAGAGAATTCTCATGAAAGATTGAGACTTGGTCTGGAGAGCACAAGTGCATACACAATTTATTCTTAAATGTTATTTACAATATGCTGTTACAGATATGTCTGATGAAATTTCCTTGCAGAAACTATTTCTGACTGCATGATGTTAGCTGATTTGCAAGGTCAATTCAAAGCAAAATACTGACATTCCTGCATAAATTAATCTCAGTAGTTGAATACTTGAGTTTTAATTATAAAACCTGCCACTATGCCTTGATTGGGAGACAGTTCTTTTAATTTCCAAATTTATAAAGTATGTCTATTTGTCTTCGGGTAAACAGAAATAAGAATGTAACTCACATAAGAATCTCAAATCTGTCAAGTATGTTTTGTGACTGTGGCCACAGTTTTTAACTGAGAGTTTAGAGTTTAAGCTACTTATGTAAAGCATTGACCTGCAGGAAAAAATCTTATTTTAATTCTTCATATTGTGTGCATTCATAGAAAAATACAACTTTAGCTATGTATGTATTTAAAGTTACAAATGATGGGTATAATGTTTGAGATTCTTTCTGGTCAAAGGGCAAAGGACTAATTTCTTCATTTGTAAATGACACAGTTGTTCCCAAATCTTAAATTTTATGAAGAAAGGTCCAGGCGTAAATATAGCCTTGACTGGGTCCATGCTTATACCCATGAAAAGTTGTCAAGTTTCAGAAGGATGGATTGTTGAAGAACAGAGAAAGGTGATAAAGACTGAGTTGGTTCTGCACTATAGGGAAGAGGGGTTTACAAAAAGTAAGGAGTCAGGTTTTTGCAGAATTTCTTGCTCAATTGTGCTGACCATACTCACTGCAAGGATATTGAGCTATGCTTGTTGTTTGGTTTGTGGTCATAATATTTCAGCAGTATCCTAAGGTAGAAATAGTCTTGTTATTTTCAGAAAATATTATTTTAGTATTATTGGTGAGAATATTATTTGAAAGTGAAATACCTTTTTAAAAGTTGGTACAAATGATAAAGATATTGAGAATTTAGAATATTTTTCATGAGCAGATAAACTAATGGGAACATTTTTAAGATCACATTAAAAATTATTTCAAAGGATTTTATATAAACTTAATGTACATGATGTTATAAATGCTCAGAAAAATCTTTCATTTCTCTTAGATGTAAATTTGATGTGATATGAACCCCTAATGAAAATTGTGTATTATTTAAATGTAGTTGTTATCTATGAAATCTTATTCACTTTTAAATCTAATAGTCACTTATAATAAAATAATTGATTTATAAATAACAGATGCATTATGCTGTAAAGTTGTAACTTTAAAGCATTTAATACAAAAATTAAAAGGCACACATCTATTTTATGTATATACTTACCTAGAAATATAAAGTTAATCTGATTACAGATTCAAAGATTTTCAGAGTAGAGCTTTCCATATCATATAGAATAAATCTCTTTTTAAAATAAAGGCGTATCATCTTTATAGAATACAGAATGCCATGCTGGCAAATTAAGGAGGGAGTCAGGCCGAGGTGGTGTTCTGATTCAATGATCTTTCTAGCCTATGTATTCCCTTGTATCAGTTAGCTTTTTGGTGAATGGGACACAATACTTGATATACACAATTTAAAGGAAGAGAAGTCTAATTTGGCTCACAGTTTTGACGATTCAGTCCCTGATTGGCAGGCTCCAAGTCAGGGACATTATGAGAGAAGGACAGAAAATAACAAAGTTGTTCATTTCACAGTCACCAGGAAGCAGAGCAAGATAATCATACCAGAAAGGGAAGTCACAGTGACTAGATATAATATCCAAGATTAGGCCTCATGACAAACCTAGACACACCCACATGTGTGTTTATCAATTCCCTGGATGGCTCCCAAACCAATCAAACTAATAACTAAGCTTACTTATCACATACTGCTTGTGCTAATCTGACACCAAAATGTATCTCTTTTAACCATATTTAAATCTCCAAATATGGAAAATGAAGTCATAATTCTACTTAACATTCTGTTACTATTCTGTGTAAAATGACATGTCCACTAATCCCTTTTTTGTAGTCTCAGTAGTTCCTACATGATTTAAAAGTCCAAGTTAAAGTTTTTTCTGAGAGTCGAGGCAAACTTTCAGATGTAACCTTCTGTAAAAACAATAGGTAAATTATCTAATCTTAAGGAATAGTGATATAAGGTGAATGTGCTCATTTCAAAAGGGAAGAATAGGAGGCAGGATAAAAAGTAGGACTAAAGTAATACCCAAACTCAGAAAGGCAAATACTAATTTTTGCAACCTTGTGTTTGCCATCAGATGGGATGCACATAATGATAACATGTGACTTGCAAGATGTTTGGGTGGAGCCATCCCTATCACTTCGCTGATTAGGACCTACATTGCCTATCTTAGACCAGCTCTGTTCTCATACTGTAACTTTCCTCTGGAGATGTTACATGTTCCTGACATCTCTGGCTGCTCGTAGTCTCCCCTCTGGCTTCTGTTTCATCCTCATATCTTGAGGCAGTTCCTTCTCTGGGACTCCTTGTCTAGGATCCCAGGCTTTTTTTTTTTTTTAATCTTGTGGAAACCTCCCAGACCTTACAAGCCATGCATTCCTCATACCTGGGAAACCAACACCAAATGGCTTACACCAATATCTGATATCGGTGGAAGCAGTTGCCAGGCCCCCTTGAACTACTGTGTTCTCTGAGTTTCTGAGTCACTGAACAGAATGGAATGAATCTCTGGTAGCCAGTTATCTAGGTGACCTTTTTTCAGCAGGAAGTCTGTGTTAGTTAGTTTTCTGTCATTGATGAGAAGAAATAACTGAGGCCCAAAAGCAAGGAAAGAAAAGTTTCACTTATCTCATCGTTTGAGCAGGTTTCAGTCTATAATCAGTTGGCTCCAAGG